GTCTGATCCACCCATTGCCAATGTCCCTGACCCTCTGGATCTGACAGCCCCACATAATAAGCAGAATGTCGGTTCAGATTCTTGATGATGAAGTCCTGAGGAAGAAAAGAAGAGTTATAGCCTTTAGGGTACTCAACTTGAACTGAGTTATTTTTTGCCTTTGGAAACTGAGAATCCAGGAATAGTCACACAGAAGACCCAACCGGGAGTGCAGCAGTTCTCTGACTGAGCAGGGCAGGATCAAAGGCATTACCATGAGCGCAATGTTCAGTATGTATAGAAACAATTCCTGTGTACAGTCATGATGGATTCTCATCTCAGACTGGCTTTCTTCCTTCACTAATATGGCATCTTTAAAGTTGGCATGAGAAAATGTTCTCATATTCGATCATTTTCCTGTCAGATCTTCAGAGATTCTTCAATTTCATTCTTGATTACTGATAGTGACTTTTTGTAATTTAATTTCCTTTTCCTACTCAATACTCTTCTTTGTTAAGTAGTTAATAATTATACTTTAGACTGAAACATTGTCATACTTCCACCAATACCCACATAATATATTTTTAATGTTATATTTTTTTGGGGGGAGGGGGGTGACTAGTTTCACTGAAGCAGAAAGAAGTTGTAGAATGGAGAGGTCTAGAGGGCCTTTCCTGCCTATTACACTGAAAGCCATCTGCCTCAGCACCAATATCCCAAAACAAGAAAAGCCTCCTTCTTAGCCAACGGAGACAACAGCAATCGCATGGGGCTCCTGGGTCCATCATCTGTCAGAAAGTACCTGCTCAGCCTTGGAGTTGATCACCAGCAGATGAGCCCCCATTCTAGAGCAGTCCTTCTCACTCTCATACCAAGATTTTGACTGAGTAGAAACAAAGTAGCAGTTGGAACCAAATGACTTCCAATTCTTTGGGCAGCAGCTCCAGAAACTCCCTGTGTTGGAAGGAAGGATATGTAAATGCAATATAGAAAATCATTTTATAAGTGTGTGCATTATTAAAATTAAGGATGAACTGAGACCACATGGAAGCTGCAACTCCCATCACCAACCAGATGCCACAAAGAGACCCCGCTCCTCAGAAATCAAGGAAGCCAAGTCGGCCCCCATCGGGCAGGAAAGGGGCATTGACCCCATCTCCTGCTAGAGTGTTATCAAGAAATGCCAGCTAAAAATAATGTTTAAATAAGATCCAAATTCTAAGAGCAGAATACAAAAATATTCAGGGTTCAGAAAAAGATAACTTATTTTACCAAAAGCGAGAAAGGTCTCAAATTTAATGAAAAAATGATAATCAATGGATGGCAACAACCAAGGTAACACAAACATGTTAGAATTCTCTGACACAGATTTTAAAGCAGCATAATAAATATCCTTCAGAAGTGTTCACATATTGAAATGTTCACTTTGTAAGCTAAATAATGTGATCGAATGTATTAAAAAAATGTAAATAAATAAGTTAATTAAATTAAAAAAGAAAGAAAGAAGAAAAAAAGAACCAAATGGAAATTTTATAACTGCAAAATACAGTAACCAAAATAAAAAGCTAAGTAGATAGGCTTAACACCAGAATGGAGAGAAGAAAGTCAGCAAATTGGAAAACAGAGTAATAGAAATTGCCTACTTGATGTTGAGTGAAGCAAGCCAGACTATGAAAGAGAAGCATTGTATGTCCCCACTTAACATATACCAAATGTTTGCACTCTATGACAGAAACTAGAAGATAGGAGGGTATAAAGGCATGGAGAGCAACTGTGAATACTAGAGATAATAGAAGGAGGGTTGACAGGGAGGGGAGGGAGGGAATCAGGGAAGAAAAAGAGAAGCAAAACATTTAATGAACACAAAAATGGAAGATTTTCTGCTAGTGATAATGTATATGGTAATCTTTGAACAGACTAACATACAGTGTATTCATGCTGGGGAAATCCATTTTGTATGTTGTAAAGATGTACAATAATGGCAAGGGGAAGGCCTTCAGAAGAAGGCACCTTCATGGCTCCTGAAAACTAGTATTTCAGGGAAAAAAGAGAAATGAAGATTTTCTACTGATAATTCATCCTCAAGCCCACAAACTTGAGTGGAGAGACAAGGGGCAGACCTTCAGAAGAATATACCTTTGGCTGCTGAGAACTAGTGATTATAGAGAAAAAAGGGAAATGAAGATTTTCTGCTGATAATTCAGCCTCCAGCCCATAAACTCAAGTGGGATCAAAATGAAATGGCAAAGAGATTCCAGATCATCTCTTTTAGCATGCTCCTGAATGCTCAGATTGAACTTCAAGTTTAGGAAGAAACACGCCATTCATCAGATGACTTGAAATCACTGCAGAGCCCCAAGAAATATGGAAAAGCAAGAAAATACCTCTCCTCCAAGGAAAAAGAATAACTCCTCTTCACCCACAGACAGTTCAATGGAAATCATGGAAATGTCTGATAAAGAATTTAGAATATTCATAATGGCAAAGCTAACAGAGATGGAAGAGAAGAGAGACAATAACTGCAGAAGAGGCAAGAGAAAGGAGCTGGCAAGTTCCAGAACGTGAAGAAATTCTTGCAAGGTCTAAAAGAGAAATTACACACTTTAAAAAATAATCAAATGGACCTGTTAGAGATGAAGGCTATAATACAGGAAGTCAAAATCTCCCTTGAAATTAAAAGCAGGCTAGATCATACAGAAAATAGAATCTCAGATGTAGAAAAGAAAACTACTGGCCTAGAAAAATCCACCACAAACATTAATCTATTCCATGAAATCCTGCAAGAAAACTTTCCAAACCTAGAGAGTCACTCAAAGATCCAGTCCCAAGAAATACAAAGGACCCCAAATAGAATCAACCCAAGAAGATCTTCTCCAAG